AGGGCGCAGGTCCAGCCCAATAAGACATAAAATATCTCTGCAGTTCATTCAAAAATGTCTAGCGTGGGCTTATGGGGTGTGTGAAGAGCAATTGTCAATCATGCCCATCAACAACATTCCATCACATTTCAGAATAAAATAAAATATTAAAAATGAAAATGAATTACACAGTCAGCAAAATAAGATGCCTTGGACCAAACACGCGCTGACACCTCAAATCATTTAAATTCAAACTAGTGGCGCCAAGGCCACATCATCATTTTCTCCGATCAACCTCACCACCGTGTTGGTCGCCACAAGGTGGCGACAATGGTGATTTCTCCAGAAACACCAAACAATCACATCACCTTGACCAAAAATTCACACTGATATCAAATATGCAATTAGATTTCACAAACTCAAACTCAAAATTGAACAATCTGGAAAAATACGCACAACCCTAAAAGTTTCAAAATAAAATTAAATGATAAACATCATCAATCAATGCCTAACAAGTCAGGGATTCAGCTCATGTGATTACCAACAATAGATATGTAACGAGTTTGAATGAAAATAATGCTTAAATGAGTGAGAACGGGAAACTTGAAATCTTACCTATCGGAGTATGTCCGATGCACCTTCTCAGCAAGCAAAAAGATCAAATAATGATAGGAAAAGCTTCACAGATGCTTGAGGATTGTAGATTGAGGCTTGCTTTGCCTTGAATCTAGTTATAACTCTCCAACCAAATCTAAGTAATGGATGAAGAAAAATGAACTTGAATTGAGAGAAATAATGAATCCATATGCTTCAATTTTAATACTGTAGCTTGAACATGATGCATGGATGATGATTGAAGCACGACTTTGAAGGAAACATGAGAGAAATGAAGAAATTGATTTTGGAGAATTTTAGAGACTGAGAATTTCAAATCTGGAAAAAAAAATGGTTACCCTTGCAGGTTGGAAGTGATTGGCTTATATAAGGAGTTCATTTAGGGTTGGATGAAGGTTTGGAAATTATGCTAGGCTCAAATTTTTTTGCATTTTGATTTAGAGTTTGTTTTGAATGAAAAATGCACATGAGAAGCTGGTTTGGAGTTAGGGTAGGGTAGGATGAATGATTTCTTTGCTTGATTTATAGGTATGGAGTGGTTGTTTACTCGTGTGAAGTGAGAGGAAATAGTGTGCAAACTTGCTGAGAAAACAATGTACCAATTGCAACTTTCTTATTTTGGCAAAAACTTGGAAAAAAGCGTAACACATGCATGCCACAGGTTTGTTCAATTTGGGCAAAGTTTGGAGTGGATTTGAAGTACGACCAAGTGGAAATGAAATGGTGCAAAGGAATGAAGTGCACATTTCAATTTTGGACACATCTTGCAATGTTTGGCAACTTTAGATGAAGTCATGATCTTGTACAACACGAATTCTGCATGCTCTCAATGGCTACTTTGGGATGGCTCAACTTGATGTGCAATGACTCAAATGACACAAGCTTGGTACCATTGAAAAGGTCTCATGAAAAGGTACGACTTTTATTTTGGTTCCAAGTTGAGAAAATGTTTGTGGGCTAAAATATCTTGGTGCAAAGTGATGGCCTCAAAACTGGTCTAAACTTAGAAAAATTCTAAGTGTTTTGGTCATTTTGCACAAATTCAAACCTCCACTTTAGCTTCAATTTTCTACCACTTAGAAATTGATTTTGAACCCAAATATTCCATCATCATGTAGTATCAAATGAAATCTCCAAATGCAGCCTTTGTTTACTAAGATTCGGTTCTTGATTCACTCACAATAATCTTGGAAAGTTGACCATATAACATGAATTTTAACACTTAGAAAATATTTTCAATTCACCAACTTTGCACTTTTCCATATTTTTCTTGTTTATTCATGATTCCACTTGATGAAACTCATCCCAATTCTTCAACCTCTTGAGATTTGACTTGAAATGTTCAAGGTTGACCAAAAACCCTAAAAGTCAAACTTTGACTTTGAGCACTTTGTTGACTTTTTGCAAATGAATCAATCCACTTCAAATACCATCATAAATCAAATTAAATCACCTTGAAAAGGCCAAAAATATGCACCAATAACCCTTGAATCATGTCTCAACCAATGGAAACAAGTTTTGGTCAAAAGGTCAACCTCAAGTTGACTTTGGCCAAAACTCTAATCTTGAGTCAGTTGAAAAAGAAACTTGCAATCAACCTTGAACCAATGAAACAAATAATGAAGGAACCCTAGCCTCTTGAAATTATGAAGATAAAAAACTTGAGAGATAGAAAACCAACAAAACCCTTGCTCAGAGCAAACCTCAGTTGAAACCATGATGAAACCCTAGTTTGATGTTTCTTGAGAAACCTTGAATAACTGATGAACTTGTGACTTGAGGAGATAATCAAGATGATGATAGTTCAAACCTTACCTTAACTTGAGTGTATGAACTTTAGTGTGATAACCAGATGAATTTCCTCTGTGACGGGGAAAACCCAAATCATAAGAAAACAGTTGATCCTATGTCTTAGGAGCTCATTGAAATGCATGATTTGAGTGTTATGACCTAGTGGATGATGCATTAAATTTAAAGCACAAGCCAATCAGGTTCAGAAACAAGAGGGAAAATTTTGGGGTGCAACACCCGTACTCTGTTATCAACTTTTTCTTGGACTTTAAGCCCTTTCTTGAGCGAACTACTCAAGCTGTCAATCTTAAAAGAGAATCCACTAGTAACCTTGACCGACGAATTTAAGTTATTCTCTAACAACAAGACTTAGTCTCTCAGTCCCAAAGTCGAATTATTGAGTGGGATACAAAATCTAAGGACAAGGATAGGCTCACAGCTCTTGAAGCGAACATTCTAACTTGGACTCAACAAATGGACGAATTAAAAACTTCTTCGTATCTTCCTCTTTAGCCTTGAATTTAAACTCGAGTTCTTTCTGGATTTTGGTTGCAGACTGAGTATTCGTATAGAGGTCTTAGAGACGATCAGATATTGTATTGAAAATATGTTCACGACATAACAATTCGTCTTCTTTACGTTTCTTATGCTCATTCTTGAGTTCATCAGAGTCATCCTCGGTTGGTTCAGGAATTGGTGGTAAGTTAGGATCTAAGACATAATGAACCTTCAGAGAGGTCAGTAGGAATGTCATATTATCTTGCCATTGGGTGTAGTTGGTTCCATCAAAGCGATCCAACTTGACAAGGTCCGGGTTCATAACTTTGATGCTTGAAACTGGAGCGTCGGAAGTCATTTGAATACTTTTAAAATTGTTAAAAATATCGGTAAATTTGAATGGATCCAAGATTGAATCGTGAATGATGTCACTTTTCTTAAAAGTATTTCAAGCACTCTCTTGTATGTCTTAGCGTTGAAACATATGAATACCCAGAATAATTCAGCCTTATATCGAATTTGCACAAGACCGGCGAAAACTCGATTTGTAGCAAAAAGTGTTTGGAATTTGTACAAGAGGATTTTCGATTTGTGATATTATTTTCTGAACTCTGGAATGGAGTATTTATAGGTCATGTATGTTTTATTTCACAAGGTTGCAACCCTTGATGAAACAACGTCTTTTTTAACCAAAAGTTGCATTGTTTTCAAGCATTGTCTATGTTCATTCCGTAGCAACACTTCACGAAGTGTTACTTCTCTTCGAATTCCTAATCATTTATTAACATTTACTCACTTTGACTTTTATTGTCATTTTGGAACACACCCATTAACATTTATTATTCATAAATTATAACAGGTACTGCCTGTTTGTGTGCTTGCAACTTTTCCTCCAAATTTTTGCATGAAGAATATATCTATGTAACTAATACACTTACATGTGATTTAATTTTATTTAATAAAGGGTACAAATGTAATTAGTTATATATTATATAAAATTTAAATATAAAGAGTGCTTTTTATAAAAAGAATTAGTTTTTTTCTTCAAAATGTTCTTTATAAAAAGGACAGGAAGAATAACTTAAATGAATTAAATACATATCTTTATTTAAGGGTGTACGTGAGTCCATTTGGGTTGGGTTTTTATCAAACCCAATATTCAATCCATATATGACATTCCATTTTGAGTGTGGTAAAATAACACTCGTCACTCCAATGGACTGGTTTGGGTTAACCCACTAACTTTCGAGTTCAGTTGGATTGGATAGTGTGTTGTCCAAATAAATTTTGTTTTATTAATATTGAATGACTAAATAATGAATCATCATATTTTTTTTATTTTTATCTTTTTAAAAAAAATTATATAACATATTTTTATTATCTTTTAGCATCATAAAATAGTAAATGATATTATTAACTAATAAAAATTATTTAAAATATTAACAACCAATTAAAACCGCATAAATAAAATGTATTAACATCAAAATAACTAAAGAGTAAAATATTCAAAATTATAAAAGTTACGATTCACTAAAATAATAAATGTCAAGACTCTAGATTTACAATAATTAAGTTAATATTCATCAAAATAATTAAAATTATAATAATAAATATTTGATTAGTGAATCAGTAATTTTATTAGATAAGATCCGACTTTACTCGAAATTTAATTTTTTTAATAAATATTTAATTTTTAAACCTATATTCACTCAATCCACTCTTTTAAATTTTTTAAAATAAATTTAACCGAGTTTTATAGGTTGACCCACCCGATATCTCCTTGTATTTAGTTATTCTTATTTCATTTCTCAATAAAAAAAACTTTATTCATAAAAAAAGTCCTATAAGAAATACACTTAATATATGACATGAGATCAAAGTTAGTATAATAATCACTACAAAAATATCGACATGCATCAAGTTAATCAATGACACGTATGGTGCAGAAGCTTTTATACATTTCTTGTTTTGTCTCTTTTCTTTTCACCATGTGACCTTCCTTTCCTTTCCTTTCCTTTCCATTCCTCCATAGTTTTCTTCATTTCTACACAGTTTCAATCAAAATCCTTAACCCAGAAATAGAATCAATCCATTCATGTTAATCACTGTTTCATCCAATGACTAACCTATTCTCCAGAACCTTCCATTGTCTTTGGTTTCCATCCACCATTCTTCCTCCTAAACCACTTTCCCAAACCCTTCCATTTTCAACTCCAATTCAACTTCCCAGACGCTTCATCTTCACCTCCACTCGCCGCCACTCCAGTCTTCTTCCCAGTTCAGCTTCATCCTCAACCTCATCTCCTCACGATCATGAATCTGTTGAACTCATCTCTTCAACTCGTAAGCTCACTTAATTTAACAATCAAGCTTTTAGCTTTTTTCATTTTTGTTTATTGGGTTTTTGTCAATTTTCAATTTAGGTTAATGGGTTTCTTTTTTTTTTCATTTGAATTTTTTTTTGTTGATATTTGTGTTTTGTTCGACTTGCTTTGATTGACAGAACATTCGGATGGAAGTATTGTGTTTACATTTGGAAATGCTAGTGAGATTAGAGAAACGATAGATGAATTAAATGAACAGAAACTTGTTCCTGAGGGTGTTATTCAGGGAGGAGGTGTTGGTGTTTTGGTGAGTGATGATGGTGTTGAAAAGTTGAGAAATGAGGATGATGGTAACTTAGGAGAAGAAATTGAATCATCTTCGACTGTAGTAGTTGCTGTTGCTGATCAAAATCCTCAGCTTCTCGAGAGTGAAGACGAAAGTAGTGTTGTTCCTGAGAAGGAGACACCTGTGATCAATGATTTGCAAAAAATTGATAAAAAGTTGATGTTGGATACAGTCGAGGAAGATTCTCGAGTTGGTAGTCTCGAAGAAGTTGGCGTTTTGACAGTTTCTCCAGCAGAGTCAGATGTGATTTCTGATCTGAGTAGTGGTGCTTCTTTGGAAGTTGAAGAGAAAGGTGATATTTTGGCTTATGTGGATGTCTCCTTAATCAACAATGGCAGTTTAAGTTTTTGATAGTTATTGTTCTGTTTGTCAGGTAGAAGGCTAACATTGAAGTTGCTCATCTCTCTACAGTTTACAATGGTGGCGGTGTGGATAGAGCAGCAAACAGCCCAGCAAGCGGCGTTGACACTAGTGACTTGACTGAATTGGTGCAAGTTTCCACTTCTATAAAGTCTGATCATTCTGTCAACGGAACAACAAGCAACTTGACAGGCAGTGTTGATGCTGAGATAAGTGAGTTGAAAACAGCATCCACTTCTTTGGAGTCTGCGCAAGATGATTATAGTGCGACAGACAATCTGAGCGGCGGTGTTGATGCCGAAATAAGTAAATTGGTGCCAGTATCAGCTTCTTCAGAGTCCACGCAAGATGATTATAGTGCAACAAACAATTCGACTGACAGTGTTGATACTGAAACAAATGAATTGGTGCCGGTATCAACTTCAGAGTCTGCGCAGAATGATTACAGTGCAACAGACAATCTGACTGTCAACGTTGACGCTAAAACAAATGAATTGGCGCCGGTATCAACTTCTTCAGAATCGGAACAAATTGGTTATAGTGCAGCAGGCATTCTGACTGGCACCATCAGTGCTGACATAAGTGAACTGGAACCAGTATCCACTTCATTAGAGTCTGCACAAGATGATTATAGTGCAACAACAGACAATCTAACTGGCAGTGTTGATGTCGAAACAAGTGAATTGGTGCCAGTATCCACTTCTTCAGAGTCGGAACAAGTTGGTTATAGTGCAGCAGGCATTCTGACTGGCAGTACCGATGCTGATATAAATGAACTGGAACCAGTATCCCCTTCTTTAGAGTCTACACAAGATGAGGAAGACATAACTGAGTTTGTGCCAGTATTAACTTCTTCAGAGTCTGAACAAGTTGGTTATGCTGCAACAGACAATCTGACTGGGAGTGTCGATGCCGAAACAAATGAATTGGTGCCGGTATCCACTACCTTAGAGTCTGAACAAGTTGGTTATAGTGCAACGGACCACCTGACTGGCAGTGTTGATGCCACAATAAGTGAATTGGTGCCAGTGTCCCCTTCCTTAGAGTCTGAACAACTTGATTATAGTGCAGCTGACAATCTGGCTGGCAGTGTTGACTTAGACGAGATTGATTTGGTGCCATTATCCGCTTATTCAGAGTCTGAACAATTTGATTTTAGTGAAACAACCCACCTGACTGATAGCGCTGTTGCCGAGTTTAGTGAGTCGGTCCAAACATCCACTTCTTTAGAAGCTGAACAAGTTGATTACAGTGCAACAGACAACTTGATTGCCAGTGTTGATACCGAGTTAAGTGAATTGGTGCCATTACCCACTTCTTTAGAGCCTGAACAAGTTGATTCTAGTGCAATAGACAACTTGACTGATGATGTTGATGATTGCATAATACATGAGTTGGCATCACTACCGAATTCTTCAGACTCTGATCAGTCTGTTATTAGAGAAACAACCCACCTGGCTGATGATGTTGATGCCGGGTTTAGCGAGTCAGTGCCATTATCCACTTCTTTAGAGGCTGAACAAGTTGATTATAGTGAAACAAACAACCTGACATCCGGTGTTGATACCGAGTTAAATGCATTGGTGCCAATATCCACTTCTTTAGAGCCAGAACAACTTGATTATAGTGCAACAGACCAGTTGGTTGGTGGTCTTGATACTGACTTAACCAAATCGACACTAGTGTCTACTTCTTCAGGGTTTGAACTTCATGCTAATGATGATGAAACAAGCCTCCACGTCGTAGATGACTCAGTTGATGCAAGTGAAATGCAAAAGTCAACACTGGTTAGTCTTATTCCCTTTCCTTATGCAGGACTATAATTCACTTTACTGTGCATATGATTTTCTTTGAGTGGTTACCGTTTCTAATATGATTTATGTTTCAATTTTTTGTTTAGCTGGATGAATTGGTTCCATCCTCAGACTTGGAAAACAAAATAGGCGTTGGCAATACCGAAAGAAGTGATTATGAAAATCCATTATTTAATACTTTACCAGAGATACATTCAGTTGAAATGCCTAGTGACGAGTATGTCAACTATCTTCTCTTTTATGTATTTTAAATTATGCTTACTCTCTCTCCTCATGGTCTTCGGTATGTGGTTTGGTTAATATATCACCCTTGGTAAAATTTTCACCTTTTTTCGTCGAAAGGAAATGTTTATGAGCACATTCTAGTTGTTGAATTTGGTAATAAATCAATGAAGATTTTCGAAGCCTGAAAGAGAGTGATATAGAAGTTGTATGTAGTGCAAGTAAAATATTGTTGTAAGGACTAAGGAATGATACAAAATGATTTCTAATGGTCATTTTAAGCAAAAGGCAGAAAACTATAGTAGTTGAAACTTGAAATGCAATTATCTAGGTTTGATGCTCATCAAATTTCTTGGAATTTGAGTTGACCTTTTTCATGGTTCTCACGCTGGTTAATTGCATGTGCACAGGGAAAAACTTACAAGAACGGAGCTTTTCCTGGTTTCTGGTGCTGCTTGCTTGCCTCATCCCTCCGAGGTACCCTTCATACATAATATCTTGACTTTCTAATCTTTTTGATGAGAAATTTGACCGTCTATGCTTATTATATTTTACGTGACTTTGGTTTGAGTTCTTAAAGTAGATGGTTAATAAGCCTACTGATAACTACTTTCAGGCACTGACAAATCGAGAAGATGCTTATATTATTTCTCCCCAAAACTGGCTAGTTGTGGCTGATGGAGTTGGCCAGTGGTCTCTTGAAGGTATCCTTTCTACATTGAATGCTAGTTTTAAAACAAACACCAACAGTCCAATTGAATTATGAAAATGCTATTTATCGTATATATTTTTATTTGCCTCGTAGTAATTTGTTAACATGCATTTACTATTTTGAAAACATGATATTTCCATTTGTTGGACTGAGTAAAGAGTATCTTTTCCAGTCGACCATTATCAAACCTCTGGTTTTTTGTCTTTTTTCGGTTGTAAACTATACTTATACACCTGAAAAATCATGTAGGGAGTAATACCAGAGTGTATATCAGGGAACTCATGGAAAAGTGTGAAGATATTGTGTCAAATTATGAGAACATTTCAACAATAAAACCTGCAGATGTTCTTATCAGAAGTGCTGCTGAAACACAATCTCCAGGGTCATCTTCAGTTTTGGTAGCTTATTTTGACGGACAGGTAAGTGATTATCGATTTTTGGGAAATAATGATAATGGCAATGCCAAATTGAGTGACATCGGAAAAGTATAAATAAAATCCTTTCACGCCACATTTTCAAAGAATGTGAATCATCTATAGTCATTTATTTGCAGGCCCTTCATGCAGCCAATGTTGGTAACACTGGATTTATCATTATAAGAGATGGTTCCGTCTTCAAAATATCAAATGCAATGTTGCACGAGCTCAGTTTTCCGATACATTTGGTTAAAGGCGACGACCACTCAGAAGTCATAGAGGTATGTAGTCTACCTCATAACATTTTCTTTAAACTGATTGAATACGATAGAGACTCAAAGTAAAGTGTGTTTCAGGAGTACAAAATCGATCTAAACAATGGCGACGTGATTGTATTTGGCACAAATGGCCTTTTTGACAATCTTTATGAGCATGAAATCGCATCAACTATATCAAAATCACTACAAGCTAGCTTGGAACCTCAGGTTGATTCTCGCCTTTATTTCTTCTGAAGTCTAAAAGACTTGGCAGCTTATGCTTAGTTTATGTATGGATATAACTTGCAGGAAATAGCAGGAATTTTGGCGACGGCGGCACAAGAGGTTGGAAGATCAAGATCAAATGGAAGTCCTTTTGCTGATGCAGCACAGGCTTTGGGGTATGTGAGTTATGCAGGAGGGAAGCTTGATGATGTAACTGTTATAGTGTCATTAGTTCAAACTACATAGATATTTCTAGTTTGTTTGTTTGTCTCAATATCTGTTGATATTTGTATATTTATAAGAGATGCAATTATTTCAAAAGATTTTTTTTACCTATTTAGGGGTTATTGTTGTATTCCATCGAATGATTACTTAACATTTTGCAATTTTGGTTCTGCCTCACCCGCATAACAAGAGCTGTGAGGCGAGTGAGCAATTGTTTCTTGACATTTTACTATTATGCCTTTATTTTTTGTTACACACATCATTGTTTTTGATGTGTTTGAATCTTATATTACAATAAGTAGCATCCATCGCGAGACAAATGGTATAAGTTTACAAGTGAAGATGTAAGCATTCTTGACTCAACACAGATGTAACGTTGATTTGGAAAAGCCTGACCTAAGCTAAGAAGACCGAAATGGAGAATAATGGAGAAGGTCGTGTGGGTCAAACTTGAATCAATGTAAATGACAAAGTCCTTGATTTATAACTTCTGATTGAAACAATAATGATATTCATATTAGATGGTGGAGAAAAAATTCATTGTGGATTAATTGACAAAATAATTATCTTATTTACAAAATACAAATATCTTATTTGTCATAAAAACTTGTCTTTTATCAAGAGGGAGAGTAACGGTGATTTATTTTAAATTGTGGTTGTCTAAAATGAGGATGGTTATTTATTTTAAATTGTGGTTGTGGTTATAAAAGTGACGGAGCGCTAGTGCTTAAGAGTTCGGAGACAGAATAAAGTTAGATTATAGACTAACGATTCTCTTACCACGCATATTAAAGAAAAGAATCATTTGAGACTTTAGAGCTAAAAGACGGTACAGTTGTTTGATTTCTCTTATCACGCATATTAAAGAAAAGAATCATTTGAGACTTTAGAGCTAAAAGATGGTAGAGTTGTTTGATTTGGTGATAATAAGACTTGTAAAATTTATGATATTGGGACGATTCGACTCAAGATGTAAATTTGCACACATACTCTCATGTTTTCTTCAGCTCTTTTTATTCTTCTTTTAGATGAGATCACATTTCTTATCTTTGACTTTTCTAGCTCTTGGCACATCATCTCTCTCTTTCGTTGCTTTTCTTCTCGTCTCTCATCTCTTTCTTTAAGCATTCAGATCTTCAATATATAGAGCTTGAGAATAGATTCGTGGAGGGTATAATAGAAAAAAAATTTCAACTGTAATTTTCCAATGTTTACTTGAAGGAATGGTCACATCATAATACAAAAAGGTTGTCCTTGCGCCACCTTATCTAGGTAGAGGTCACATACTACTTTGTACTTTTATAATCAACATATTATCCAACCATTCTTGATCTTCTGTCTTCTAATTCATCAGAGGCTTCAAATGTATAATTGATGAAGCATGTTGTAGAGACATCAACTTGTAACTTTAGAGTCTATGTCTTTAGAGTCTCAGATCTTCGTTCAGCAGAACCTTGTCTTAAGAGTCTTCAGCACTTGGTCTTTAGAAGTGATGTCTTCAGAAACTTTAGAACTCGTTCAATTGAACCTTGTCTTCATAATCTTCAGAACTTGTTCAACACATACATGTCTTTAAAGTCTTAAGAACTTCGCTCAACAGAACTGTGTCTTCAAAATCTTCAGAACTTTGTTTCAATAGAAGTGATGTCTTTAGAAACTTCAGAACTCGTTCAACAAAACATTGTCTTCAGAATCTTCTGAACTTCTTCAGCACATACTTGTCTTCAGAACTTGTAGTGATAGAAGCGCATCTCTTAGAAAGCCTTTAAGGCTTTACTCACAAAGTAATGATCAGAAACTTTAGTAGCAACGTTCTTCGAACCGTTGCATCAGGAGCATTCTTGAAACTTGACTTTAAAAAGGAACACCATATATTTTCTTTCAGAGTGTTTAGATTAGAGTCTGATGGCGTCTCACACCTTTCTATCACAGTTAGATCCAGTTTAGAAAAAGCTACACACTAAACAGAAACCATAGAGTACCGAATTGTTCTCTAAGATAACATGTGCAGTTATCATCAAAACTTAAGGCTAGATGCATAACCAATCTTGTTCTTACAATCTCCCCCTTTTTGAAGATGACAAAAAATATATTTTAATAGAGCGATTCGTACAGGGTAATAACCAAAAACCACAGAATCAGAGTGAAGCTAACCAGCTCCCCCCTGAATCTGTTATTCTTAAAATTCATTTATGCTTGCTCAGAGTCTCCCCCTGATCTCAACACTCACAAAATAATTTTGAATTACATATCATAAGAGTAGAGAAGGAATACTTCTCAGTGGCGTCTTATCAGAGTCTGACTAGAACTGCCTGATATTCATCTCAGAACCTGGCTTGCTATCAGAACATGATTGACAAAATCAGAACCTGATTAGTAACTGTTTTGATGCCTTGCATCATGTACCAGAGCTAGGTTCTTTCAATGTCATGGACAAATCACCAAAAGGTGCATAAATGAACATGTCATAAAAAGGTTCAAAACTTGAACAATTCCTGAATGACCATGTCTTGATTGGATATCCATAAGGTCTACGACCTTTGAAGTACTAGAGTCTAGCTACCATGCTTTTAGAAAGTTCACAACTTCTGACAAGCCTGAGGTATCAGAGCACTCATAAACTTCTTTCAACTTGTCCTTTGCTTCTGATTAATGAGTGGTCAAAACCAATTCTTCATTGAATATTGTATTACATCAGAGCAAGTTTGTTTAGAGCATTCTTCTTGTTCATAACTTCTGATAGCCTGTTTTAAAAGATAGTGAACTTTTACAAAGTTCCCGATCAAATATTAAACACACATTGGAACTAAAATCATATTGAAATATGTATTTGGGATCAAGATTCTGAGAATAGGTACATCAAAATCATTTCACTTTCTTCCCCTTTGCCAAAAATTGAAAAGGAAAAAAATTGACAATAAAAAATATGGCGAGATCATTAACAGAAATACTGAAGCGGGATAAAATACCAACAAAATAAAGAAAAGAACCGAAAAATTCATTCTTATTATGGAAGGAGTACAAACAAGATAGGTAAAGGAGTAGCAAGGAAAAAGGCAATACAACCAAAACTGTTCAACCAGATACAACAAAACCATAAGAACCAAAACATCATAAAAATCCAAACATCTAAGGACACATTATAAACATAAAAGCCACACGACCCAAAAGCGTCCAAACACCACACATCAATCCAGCAAACATGACTATCAATCCAGCAGACTTGTAACCACCTCACACCTTTCTTCAGCAACCGCAACATCCGGTCCAAGCCTCTTAGTCAAACCAATGATTTCAACTTTATATAAAATTTCAGAAAGAACCTTTCCATAAGGTATGAAGGACTTATGCTGACTTCTGGAGATACTCACAGATTTCTTCAGATGGTTAAAAATGGTTTGAGGCAGATTGACTCGGATATTTTTCATCATAAAGTAGATGAAAAGTCTGTCCCTATGGGACAAAACATTTTTGTCTATTCCCCGAGGTCGAAAGTTTGTCAAAAGAAGGTTGAGCCAAGATTTAGTAGTGGGAGGAAGCCTCTCTGGATTATTGGGTTCATATATGAGAAATGAGGTATTGTGAATGTCAATGAGCTTTTTAACAAAGGTTTAGTTTAGACGAAACTCGTCCATAGTAACATCCCTTTGAACACAACGGATAGCTTCAACAATGAATGTAAGAGTAATGATGAAAGGAACTTCATAAACACTGGAGTTGATGGATTTACCATCTTCACTCACTAAAGCATACTTCCAAAAAGCTTTCACCATGTTGGGATAAGTGGGTCCATGCAGCAATGCATAGTATTTATATCAGTCCTGTATTTGCATGCTTAGAATAATGTCGCGATCTGTTCCCTTAAGTTGGAGAAGATTTTGTCATTTTTCGATAATGACTTCAAGTACATCTTCATTTCCACAGAAGGTTTTGACCGACATGGTTGGTTGAAAGAGAAGGAGAAAAAAATAGGGCAGTTTTTTGTGAAGATGGAAGAGTAAGGGGTGACTGTTTGAAGATGAAAGAATGGATATAAATAGAGAGAATGATGAAACGAATCAAAGCAATAAAGATAAAACAATAAGACATACAATTCCAAGACACGCAAAGAAATTAATGGTTAACCAAGAAAATAGACTAACATCATTTCCAAAGAAAATATTGCATAGGAAACCTAAACACAAAAAAATAGGAAAGGAATACCAAACATGTATAAGGTATTAGGTAACTGACGAAAGTCTTGGAAATAGGTAACACTAAAAAGAAATCAATTATGACAAGAAATAAAGAGTGAAAATTTATTACTTGATCTTAAGATAAAATTGTCACCTAACACGTTGTATCAAGTGCGAGGAGTGATTTGAACAGTCAATAGCATTACATCGAATCACAATCCTTACACTATCCTGACAACGTGTAAATGAAGTAAACTCTTCAGTTTCCAACTATAACACCCCAAATTCTTGAAATATTTATTTAATTTATTTAAATATGAATATCGTATTTTTGGTGATTTTCGGTGGTTGGTGTGAATATCGGGAATTATAGAGTTTTGAGTTATTTATTTAAATAATAGTATATAATATGAATATATTTGGTTATTAATTTAAATAAATATAAGTTAATTTAAGAGCAAAGTGGACATTTGAGGAGGAGTTAGTGAGGGTGAAATTGGAAAGCCTATTTTAAAGCTCCAAAGTTAGGTTTAACAAAAAGGAATTTTGAGGGAATTAGGATTCATTCTTGTTAGACCGTGAAAAGGGAAGAAGTAGAGGCCAAAGCTCTGAGAAAGAGGATTGAGGCAAAAGCTTCGCGAGGTTTCCAAGAATCAAGGAGAAAGGCTTAGAGTCAGCAATTAAGGTATGAGAAGTGTTGCCTTCATTGTTTTCAATATACGATTCAATGTATTTAAAGTCGATTTAAGGATTTAGGAGGTTTTTGAGTTTGGGGAAATTAGGTCTTCGTGGCCAAATCTGTTTTTGAGGTTGTTTAAGTATGGGGAGTATTGTCTTTATTATTTT